CGACGTCGAAGCCAGCCTCGTGCGGCACGATATACACCTGTACCTGCACAGCGCCTTGGTCGCCATACCCCGGGACTTAGACATACCCGACCTGCTCGACTGGCCACGAGACTGCGACGTCGCTGCGCTTGCGGACAAATCTGGCCAGCTCTTTGTATATGCTGCGACGGCAGTACGCTTCATCGCCCACGATCGTGTCCGCGATCCACAACGCCAGCTCGAAGTGTTGCTGGGCATGCGGAGCGTGACCAATGGAAATCCTTACTCCCAGCTTGACAGCCTCTACCTCCATCTATTGAGCAGCGCTCTCCCCGACGATTCGGAGCCCGAGGATGTAGAACGCTTCAAGCGCGTACTGGGGACGATACTGTGCTCGCGCGAGGCTCTTCCCATTTCCGCGTTGAGCTGCTTTGCTGGCATCGACTCTGCCTCCGTCTTGCGCACATTATACCACCTGCACTCGGTCATCGTCTCTTCGGAGGAGGCACCGCGCGTCTACCATCCGTCATTCGCGGAGTTCATCACGGATCCACGCAGGTGTACCGAGCGCTTCTGCATCTACCCAGAAGCAGAAGAGCAGCACCTCGCAGCGCGCTCTCTCGATCTTCTCGCCAACGGTCTCCAGCGCGGAATGAGCCTTGCCGAACTGACGCCGCAAATGCGTTATGCTTGTCGGTACTGGGCCGTCCATGTCGATGCATGTTCTGAACATGATGCTGTCGTGGCTTCCGTGGAGGCATTCGCCCACGACAACCTCGTGTTCTGGCTGGAGGCCATGTGTAACATGGATCTCCTCTATATGGTGCCCGCCCTACTTGCAGGCGTGCACAAGTGGATGGTGAGTCACTTTGATGACCCTTCGCTATGACTCTGCTGACTTTGGCCAGGCCATGAGTTGTACACAATCCGGCCAAGTAGTCCCAGCCGCGCTTGAGCTCCTGGACGACGCGTACCGTCTCGCGCTCGTCTATCGGGAGGTGGTTCATGGCGCGCCCGAGCACATATACCTATCCGCTCTACCATTTTCCCCTTCTTCTTCGGCGTTGTTTCAAACGTATGAGGCGGAGGCTATCGATGGAGTTATCGTCTTGCGGCCCTTTGAGCGGCATTGGACGCCACTCCTGCGTAGCCTCGATCTACAGAGTTGCGAGACGCCGCTACGAGCAAGCGCGCTTTCTCCCACAGGGTCTGTCATCGCGCTTGTCCGCATGTCGGGCTGTTTGGAGTTATTGGATATGGACGCACCCTCCGCAGGCGAGGCGAAGTCCCAGCTGTTGACGCTGTCGATGAACACTCGCGACGCCACGGACCACAGGCTCGCATTCTCTTCCAGCGGCAAGCTCCTTGCTTGCGCCTACGTTCCGAATAAGGGACCACCCACTATCGACGTCTGGGACGTAGCATCACATACCCTTGTCCACACGTCGAGCGAACAGTCAACCTCTGCACCACCATCTACGACTATTGCCGTTGCTCGCGACGGCCTACACGTCGCTGCCATCGCACTAGACGTCAAGGTCATGCACCTTTCTGTTCAGAGTACGCGCAAGAAGGAGCGTGTTGCGCTCACGTATCCTCTTTCTTCGCAGACATCCGATCCCTGCTTGATCTTCTACGAGACTACCGGTGTTACTATCGCTATCGGGACTTGCGACGGCGTCTTCATCTTGGATGACTTGGTGAAGCGCTCGCCGATACGCCTGCGACCTCACAGCGGTGCGGCTACCGCAATCGCCGTGACCCACGATAGTAGCCAACTCGCCGCGACATTCCGTAGCGCAGAGCTCGCTCTTGCACTATGGGACACAACCAACCTCCTGTGTTTATACAGCTTGTCCCTCTCGTCCAACCCCATCACATCGCTCGCTTTCCGCGAAGATGGCGGTCAGCTAGCACTGGGTTCTCAAAATGGTCAACTCATCCTGTATGAACGCGAGGACTCCACTGCCTTCGCGCCATCCGCATATGTCACCATTGCAGAGTCGCAGACTGCCGTGACGGGCATAGCGTACTCCTCGGATGCCATTCGCTTGCACACTGGCACAGCATACGGTGTCTATAAGCAGTGGCATCTACGGGATCTTTCCAGGTCTCCACCAATCGTTGATACATTGCCCATTGGCCTTCCCGAGCACTGCGCCTTCAGTGCTAACGGTGCATTCATCGCCCTTCCCGTGGGCGAGTACACCGTCTCTGCGGCAGTGTACGACGCGCGCACAGGAGCGCATATCCTGGACTGTACCTCGAGTCCGCACACTCACTGGGACGCTAAGATGGATCCGCTGGGAGCCCCTCCACCTATTCGCGTTACCGCTCTCGCGTTCTCTCCAGACGGTACCATTCTTGCGGCTGCGTGCGCGTCTGAGCGCACGTATGCACTTTTTTGGGACACCAAGACGGGAATCCTCACACGCACGCTGAACCTCGCCTACATGGGCTTACACGTCGACGTCTCGGCTCTCTCGTTCAGCGCAGACAATAGCGTACTGTACGCACATCTGCGGCAATCCACGACGCTACACCTACCGGGGACACGCGTCTTCCAGCCTCCCGCGCCGGGAAAGCTCGCGTACAACCTGCGCACGAACAGGATGCCCGCGTTGCTCCCTGAACGCAATGCCGATGAAGAGGACCCGGAGGCGCTGCATGTTTGGGTCGACGAGGAGGACGCGCTTCGGATGCGCCACGCCGATATGGTGTTTGAGGACAGCACTCTCCTTGCACGGCTTCCCGCCGGTACCATCAAGCGTGCTTTCGGGTACGGAGACCGCGTAGTGGGTGTATCGCCGGCCGGGAAAGTCTGCATACTGGATATTTCCAACTTCGTCTGAGTTCTACTCTGCATACCACAAACACAATTGTACTTGTATATCATCGTCTTCCGCATCATCCTGCATCTGGCTCGGCTTTCATCGTTGCTTTGTTACCAGTATATCCGTCTTGCTGCTCACGCGACCAATGTAATTGTGTGGTTACGATTGTATACATAGCGATATCTTTCCGCATCTCCGAATAACGGTGTTTTGTGTCCGATGTTGAAGCGTACAATCTCGCGGTCTGGAAGTGGGCATCGAGTTGGTATTCGGGCCAGGCGATCATAATTGCAAAAGCATGTGCTGCCAATGCCGTGTCCACCGTCGCATCCGTCGTGCAAAGAGGCTGGGACCCGCATACACGCGGTGCGTTCATCTGGACTGGAGTGCCCCACGAAGGGCTCTGAACGATCTAGCCGGCTATATGCGTGTCTGGATTGACAATTACGACGTGCCCTGGATACGCCACGTAGACGATGGTCATCAAGAATAGAGTACACGGCCTGCTCCTGCCCGGCCGGTGCGGTCGCGCGGTAAGGTCGCCGTGACCGCGTCCTGTGCGCGCTGGCCAGGCTGCGGGGTAGGCATACCACACGTCTCAGACGTTCCGCTTTTGTAATGCCTCGATTCTCACTATGATAAATCATAGACTCCCAAAGCTGTACGAGGCTCTGCATTGTCCATCTCAATGAACTGACGAGCTGTTGATTATCTGAAGACGTGTACAAGAAGCGGTGTCGTGTCAAGTTCTGGGCGGGATCGCAGCGGAAATGCGGTCATATCTTCCGTCTCCGTTTGTCCTTAGACCTGATATGGATCAGGAAACATTCGAACAAGAGCAATCCCATGTCGTCAGTAGAACGGCGTCTCTCGTGGAGATATCGCGGGGGACCCGTCGGTTTGACGGGAACAAGATGGGCCACGAGATCCATTGTCATGCCTTTACATGATCCTGTAACGACCAGTACGCCCGATAGAAAGGTACAATGCGCAGAAAGAAACGTTCTCGTAACCGTCGGGAACTGGTTCTCAGGGACACCGAGGGCGATGATACACCGCGCGCAAACCTGGTTGACGCCCTGGAGATATAAGCCCGTGGTCGCGAAGACTGGAGCCATCCCTTTCGCGCCACGGCCGCTTCTGGAGTTCCGTCAAGAACCGGCGCGCCTTGTGCTTGCGTTTGAGCGTGCGATCGACCGAGGACCATCCGGTATACAAGAGCAGTTGCATCAGGATCATGACCGTCTTGCCGCGGCCCGCGCTCTCTCCGAGCTCATCCAAGAGCTTTCGTAGCAGCAGCTACCCGGTGCTCCAGCACCTTGTCGCGCTCGGCTTCACGACTGTGTTCACTATCACAGGGTGCGTACACTCCCAAAGCGCATAACAAGAAGCCAAAGCTCATAGTGTCCCACAGTCGACCCTCGGCTTTCAGCCGTTGCATTACGAGCTCTATCGGGAAACACCTCAACGTCGGCGAGATGTACACCACCGCCTGCAGCGAGCCGAGCGGACTTCATGTCTTCCTCGCCGTCCCCCTCGTTTATCTCGTATTTTTCATCATTGCGCGATGGGCAGGCGCACCGCCCCGAGCGTCTATGCCCACGTATCAGACCCTCCCGCGCGACGCTTTCCACGAATCCAAGCCCGTCGTCGTGTGCGAGCCACCACCACCACCCAGACGTGGCCACACCCAACCAGCCGCGCAGGAGAACCGCACGGGAGCCTCCGAAGGCGAGAAGCCATACCGCTTAGCAACGGGAACTGGCACCAGCTCTAGCCCACCGCATTCACCCACAAGCAGATCACCGTGTAGATGTGCTGTGTGCAGAGTACGGATACAGTCCGGCGTCCGTGGTTCCTGGCACACACATGTGCGACCACCATCTCCCAGGGAGACGCTCAGGCCGGGTAGAGAGCGGTTCGTGGCGGCGTGAGCCTGAGAACGGGAGGAGCACGCGTCTGAGACAGCGCGTTGTAGAACCACATTCGGACACATTTTATTGTAACTTATTCGGTTGTATGCCATTGTATGCTTTGTACTTCTTCTCCGCGTCTCAGAGGGAGACCTTAAGCTCATTCGAGAAAGAAAAAATGGTGTACCTTAAAAAAACCCTGATATACGGTCACAGCTAAGTAATACCGGGCTGACGAGTGCAAAACAAAACGAAGGGACTGAAAATGCACTATTGCCCATTGGCTGGATTGAACAACCGACCTCACCATTACGTAAGCGTACGAGTGGCGCGCTCTACCACTGAGCTAAACGGGCTATAAAGTAGAACGCAAAAGTAGCGTCCTATAAAAAAGAAACTCTAAAGTGTCACAATGGATCCGTCGCCGGTCACGCACGTAGGCTACGCCGGTTGTCTCCTGCATCCACCTGGTTGTCGACTTTCACAATGTGCATCCACGCCTTGAAGTTTCATCTCAATGGTTTCGACTCAGGTAATTGTGAAGCCCAGGACTTCAGTAGCTATCAATGCGTGACGCCTAGATCGGTAGACCGAGGGATGGTATCGCTTTTCGAGTAAACGTCACCTCGACGAAGTCAGCCTCGCTTGCTGTTGTTGTCTATCCTTTGTGTCATCTCAGCTCGACATTTCGAGCTTGCGACAAGATATGTTTGTTGCTCACAAGTTGCGCTACGTTGAAAGCCGCCGCCAGGTCTGTGAGGAAGGCTGTAGTTAGCCTGTAGGCCAGAAATGCTTTTTTGTTTGCAACGGTTAGCGGTTTATGTCAACGGCGGCAAGGCTACAACTCTAACTTTGTCAGAAGCGCTGGATACGGCGTTTCATCTGTCTGGAGGCAGTATTTTTAGTCAACCCATCTGTATGCTGTGCGGCAGTACCGTCTATCAACGATGTCAGCGCTGGAGCATCCCCAGACTCCCGCAACCTTCGTGCGACAAATGACGACCTCCGCCGAAGTGAGCTCGTGCTATTCATGTCGATCCGTCTAGAAGCTTACGACAAGCTTCGAGCGGCCTTTCACAAACGCGTACGTTGTCGCAGTCAATGGGGGACGGCTTACTGGATGAACAAGTCTGGATGTGTCGAGCAAAGCCCGACATCATACACATCAGCTCACGCTGTGCGGTCTGCGGCTGAATGTGTTCACTAAACATAGGCAACGGCACGGCGTCTTGTTCGCGCAGGCGAGACATATAAACGAGGCAATTCGGCTTCAAACGGTCCTTACCCATCCCTTCACCCGCCCTTTCTTCTTTACTTCTCTCTGTTCGTCCCCGAGCAGGGTGCGTATACTCTCCTCTCACAAGAATGGACGGATCTCTGACAGCTGCTGCAGACCTCGGCCTTTGATTTCATAGGCTTCCCCATCCTTTAATTCCTTCTTCACTTTTTTACTTTACGATGTTCGCTTCCGTCCTTGCTTCTCTTGCGCTCCTCGCGCCTCTCGCAGCCGCAGAGGTCATCGTCAACGTTGGCGTGAACAACACTCTGCTGTTCGACCCTCCGCAGGTGTTCACCGAGCCCGGTGAGACAATCACTTTCGTCTTCCAGTCCAACCACGTAAGCACAGCCCGAGCTTCTTGTCACTTCATTCTCCCATGCTCACGACATGCAATACAGACTGCGACGCTCTCGACGTTCGAAGACCCGTGTACTGCTGTCGATGGAGGGTTCGATACCGGCTTCTTGAGCAACAACCAGACGGCGAGCGTGCGGGTGAACGGCACCGACCCGATCTGGATGTACTGCCGCGTCGGTATGCATTGTGCGTACTTTTCCCTTCTACCTCCCGATCTCACAACCTTTCGCATTCTCTCCGTTACTGTGAGTACTCACACGTATCCGCAGGCGAGTATGGCATGGTCTTCGCCGTGAACCCGACGCCGAGCCAGCCTTACGAATTCTTCAACGCTAAGGCAAAGTTGCTCTTGAACGCTACGACGCCGGTTGCGACGAACGCGACGAACGCGACCTCGACTGCCGTTGTGGCGGCGACTTCGCCCACTGCGAACACTTTCACTTTCGCCACCGCCTCTGCCGCGACATCTGCTGCGACTGACGCCGTTACGTCGGCTGCATCTACCGCAACATCGGCTGTGTCTGCTGCGACCTCCGCTGTGGCATCCACTGCGGCTTCTGCTGCGACGTCCGCCGTGACAGCAGCCGCCTCGGACAGTGCAGCCGCGACTAGCGCAGCGACATCATCCGCCGCCGCGACGACTAGCGCAGCGGCCTCCTCCGCTGCGGCTACAACCTCTGCCGCCGCCAGCCTCGGCGCTGCCCCTCGCGTCGGCCTCGCCGGTGCCTCGGACGCACTGACGTCGTTCTCGGCGCCGAGCGCGTCCGCCTCTGCGACTGATGCATTTGCCGCGGTCACGACTGTGGCGGGCGAGACGCCCGTTGTGATCGTTGTTGAGAAGGAGACTGAGCTGAAGCAGGCTCAGAGGCGGACGTGGATGCAGCGCGAGGTTGCGTTCGCGCGCTGATCAATTGTCGGTGACCGGTGATGCATTGCATAGAGGTTCGGGCGAGGTTCGGGGTGGGGTAAATATTATGATCATATTTACGACGCGCGTGTACGAGTTCGAGGTCTTGAGCACAGCCTGTGATATATACTTATAGCTGGCATGAATGGACATTTGATAATCCTACTTCCAAGTGAGGAACAAGCGACTGGCCGCGCCACAGAGTCCGGATGGAGAACAAGAGTATGCAGGGACTTGTATACAGCCTCCTATAAGCTTCCCGCTGTTGCCCTAGACCCGTTGGCCGTGGGCGCTTTGATAACGGTAGTCGCTTCGTTGCGAGTCCAAGGATGTCTGGCAGGAACCCCTGGGAGGTAGCGCGGAGTGTGCCTACATCGGCAAACACCGGACAGGTGTCGGTGAAGTCGGCTTCCCAGATCTCAGACAGAGGGCTATACAGGAAACGATACAACCATCCAAGTAGAGTATACGTATGACAAGCAAAGTGCCCAGTCGGACCAGAATCCGAAGACGTGCAAATGAAGAGAAGGTCTGATGATGGGAGCTGGGATGATGGGCGTGTGCGACGGCGCCCAGGCGAGGTTTGGGATCAGGCGCGCCGCCCTGAACGACTTGCACTCTCACCCGGCCCACCACCACCAACCCCTCCCTCCCCCCTTTTTCTCCTCTTTTCCTTTTCTTCCCGCCCGCGTGGCCCGCCTGTGTACAAACGGCGGAGGAGTTGCAGACGTTTGAAGAGGCAATACCCCGTATTTTGATCGCTCGTCGAGCTTGATTCCCAGGTGCGTTCCGCTCTGCTTGGTCAACGTATCCAAATGCGTCAGCCGTCTGCACGCGCTGGCAACTTCGCTCTCTGTACTTCTTGTACTGTGGCGACTCGTGTATAGGAATATGGAAATGCTGACGAGAAATACCCTTACAGCTCTATCACTACCCCACAAAACTCTCGCCCATCATGTCGTCCCGTCCGAAGCAGTCCATGAGCGAGCTCAAGCTCCGCCGCTTACTCGAGCACAACCAGCGTCTTCGCGATGACCTTGCACGGCCGCGCATTCGCGTATCCGAGGCGAGCGCAAGTCTGATTCGCTATTGCAAGACGACAAAGGACCATTTGGTGCATACTTTATTACTGTTCACTCTGCAATAAGTCTAACCATGACCGCAGGTACCTTCGGTGTGGGGTCCTGTCGGACGAAACGAGGACCCATACGCGCCGCAACAGTCCGGCGGCTGCTGTACCGTGCAATGAGCGCGCGCGCATCGCCTTCTCGCATCCTCTCGTCACTCCTCGCTATCCGCGCGCCTCTCCTTACAGCTCATCACCGCCGCTTACATTACACTTGCCCGCTTCTCGGCCGACCCCCGCATCCGGATCGTCTGCTTTTATATCCCCCCAGCTTCTTACAAGGAACTCCCCGACCCATATGTATCGCGGACTCTTCCGCTGCCTGGATGTGCACTCTTGTATCGTGTGACAGGCGGTCGGGGAGCGCTGTCGTTGTGAACTTGCCAGTTTTTCGATCTCATTTATCCTGAGCCAGGCCCGTTACCTATCCCATCCCGCTTTTTCTTGTGTATATATCCTACTCCGCTCTTTTGCTTGCCATCTGCATCCTCGGTTTCTGCTCTTTATTCCACTGGCTTTCAACACCTCTCTACCGTGAATCGACGTCGCGAGGCGCGTGGTATATGTAAGAAAAAACTCGGACTTAACAGTTTGATGAAACGTCGAAGGTGTAATGGAAGCACGTCGCGTGCTACTGGCTTCGCTTCTTACCGCCATGTTACAGTAGCTCCGTTCAGAGTTGAGTTGCACGGCCGTGCAAATGGCCGTGCAAACCGTGCAATCGTGCAAGCGGCGTGACGATAACGCCGTGTAATGAGTGACCATGCGCGTCGGCGAGCGCGCACGCGCGCGCTCGTCTTGACTCGCAACATCTTCCTCTACGTCTACGTACAATGGCGGGCGACAAACGCGCACGCGCCAACTCGGTAGCTGTCAAAGAGTCCGAAGCAAAGAAGCAGAAGAAGGCGCCAGCCAGGGCTACGCCTAACGCGAACTGGGGCACGAAGGCGAAGCCTAATGACGCCGCTCATCGCGCGCAGGGTGCTTTCGAGTCGGAGAAGTACCGTAAGAGCCTTTTCGGGCCTAAGAAGGGAGAAGTGCGTAATATGTATAGCTCGTACTCCCTCTTTACTCATCTTCATGTAAGGCTACGAACAAAACCGGCATCGAGCAGACTTTCAACAACATCGCCGTCGACGTCGTCTTCAAGGACCAGGTACCGGAGGGCCAAGTGACTGCGTACGGTCACAAAATTAAAGGTCTTTTTCATGCGTACGTGATTCATATACAATATGGGACTATATATTGAGTGTGGACGTAGTTATCGCAAGGAGTACAACAAGCTTGCGCAGGAAATCAAGCAGACTGGTGGCGGCATCCGCGACGCGCAGCTTGCAACACTTGTCGAGATTGAGGAAGACGACGACGAGGAGAGTTCGACCCGAGTGATGGAATGCTACGTACCGGCAGACGGCCCAACGTCTGAGACGCCGCAGAAGTACAAGAATATCTGGGGTATTTTAATTTATATGTTTGATGTCGAATGCTCGCTCACGTCTATGTAGAGGAGCTTACTGCCAAGTTTGCTTTCTTCCCTCGCTGGCATGCCCTGCTGGCTTCGCGACCATCCTCGAATCCTCCTTCGGTTACGACAGGTCTTAGCCCCGAACGTAATGGCGGCCACATCACAACCTTTTACCAGCCTCCACCCGACAACCTTCAGGCCCAGCACAACCCCATTCCCGAC